TTCTTCTTTGGTGAACAATAGAGCTCAACGGGAGGCTACAGAATTTTATGCATCCACGGTTTCGAAAATGCAGAGGGAGTTCATTTCACAGCCTCTTGGCTCTCTCTCTCCGTAAGACGTCTAATGAGTTGTTGTTGGCGTCCGACTCTCTCTGTAAAGCCAAAGTTAAGGTGGCTGATTGACGAGGTAGCTTCCATTAGACTCCGACACTTGTGTACCTGCCTGCCCATCCTCTCTCATCATGCACATTTGAAAATTAACAACCACAACAGCATGGAACATCCTACAGATAGGACACAGCTTTAATACCCTCATTTCCATTACCTGAGTTTGATTTTACTGTGATGAAGCAAAGTTATGACCGTGCGTATTGATTTTCTGAAATGAGTTTCAAAATTTTAGTGCGAAATGGTTTACGGTACTAGAATATTGTTATCTTCAAAAGCAGAAGAAATGCATCATGTACTTTTCCTCAAGTTATGCTCAAAGTCGGATTATACTAAATCTTACATTATGACCCTCAACGTCAGTCTTAATAATTGATTGGAACCCAATCTAGTCCGGATAAAACAACGCATCACTTCAAACTCTGCATCTTATGGGTATAATAATAATAAATTCATAAATCCCCAATAAATTTATGATACATAACCGCAAAAGGTGATTGCCAGGATTGAATTAAGGTTTACTAAAAGGTATTTAAAATTCAATGCTTTAACTTCTTATGTATTTATTTGTAGTTGGTATTTGAGGCTTACACTTCATAAACCATTTGCAAACGGACAAGGTGATTGCTAGATAGTCATTTAGTGTGATGTTCTGTGAAGTTCAATTTGCATCGAAATTTTAATAAATAATTTTAACGCAACAAAGGACAACCTTTATTTCATAATAATTTAAGCTACTTTAAATTGGTCTTCCTCAGTGCTTGCTAGCAATTTAATTCTTTGGTCGGAATGACACATCGTGAAACTTATGATGACTTGCCTATTAAGTAAATCTCAACTACTGGTTAAACATCATTGGTGAGCAGGATACTTTCTACCTCCTTGAAATTTGCATATGTATCTTAGATAAGCGAAGGGTGGATGATTACAAGACCGTAAAATATTGTGACTATGATTTGTGAACTAGGTTTACACCGTGTATTATTTTTAATCTCACAAGTATTATAATCCTCATCGTATGTATGTACTCCTCTCTACAAGCTCACACATAATGTGTACATATGTATATGTTTCAAAACACAAAGGGTAAATACTACGAAAATGAGCATATTACATGTTTGTATGTATGAATATGGCTGGTTTATGGTTCCAAGATTTGTTGTTCGGTTGACGTGTATTTGCAGAATTTGCAGCTACAATAATTGCTTATGAAAGTGGATAGTCAAGTAGCCAGTGTCAGTCAACAAAGCCCAAGCAGTTGGTTAATGAATGTCAAACGGATTTTATATTTCAACTTTGACTGAATTCCATCTCATGCGAATGTTGTCTCGAGGAATGAAATACTGATAAAAATGTGGTTGCCTTGAATGACCATTATTCGCAGCTGAAAAACGATTAGTATAAAACACATCACACAAATTATATTTATTTGCGTGATCAAATTAGGAGCCGCATCGAATGGAAATGGCATCTTCGCAATTCAATACAAATGTTCTCGTTGGTCACAATAAATTGGGCAAATTAACCGATTATAAATTCAACAAGAAATTATAATATTCTTGTTTGCTCATTTTGCTACAAAACCCATTGGATGGAATGGGAATTGTCATAACTTTGGGGATGCGTATATACCTTTAATAATTAGTTGATTTACTGGACGTTAATAATTTGTTGTTTTTCGTCCACCATCGTTGACACTTGCAAATTCTGTAAATCTATATTTAATGGAGGTGAAGCGTATTACAAGTTATTACGTATTATTTGATTTATAAATCCATTTATTTAAACTTGTTCCCAGAGTTTTTGTTGTTGGGCAAAGCACCAGCGTTGGTGTACGTAGATTTTTTGCTGATATAATTCAAATTTGTGTAAATGAAGCTTCCATAATCATTAACGAATTTGGGACCATGTAATTGCTTTCTGTGGGATGGAACGAGATGAACAGAAGAGTTAATCTGCCATTGAGTTCCGAAGGGAATGACATCATCTCTATCATTTCTATGTGACCGCTGGTTTGCCGATATTCTTAACCAATTTGCATTCACCTGTGCATCCCAATCTTGCAAACTACTTTCATTTAGCCAGCCCCTGCCTGCCACTGACGGAGTCGATATTCCTCTTTGGTCTTGATGAATGACCAACTAACTCTGCAGGCAAACATGTAGCAGAAAAAATTCCAATTCAACCTTGTCTGCTGAAGTCTGCTGCGTGCATACGTATGTACATTGGTTTTTCTCGTACATATTATCTACAAATGCGGATGGGATCAGATTAGTTAAAGTTGATCTCCTTTTAACACGGTTCATAAGTGCATGTATGTACGTATGTATAACTGCATACAAATGTAAGGTTCACTCACTCCCTTAACAATCGGAATTGCTATTTATTCCATATTTAATAAGATGCTTGAGAAATTTATAAAAAATAAGGGACGTTGATGTAAATGCATATCACATAATTTTACAATCCATAAATTATCCACACTGCTGCAGCAATGATGATAATAAAGATCATTTTCAGTCATGATCCATAAAAAGGAAAGAATTCTTGCTCGGCATGCCTTAAATTGATACAAATCCCACGCCCAAAATATTTTACGCTTTATGCAAGCTACACATACATACGTACGAATGCAGCAATTAGTCCCACATTTCGGTAAAACATTTCCAATGATGATGGACTACACATTAAAAATCATCATACCGAGTTGGTGGTTGCTGTCACACTTAACTGATAAATTTAGGCGTTTTAAAAGTAATCCATCACAAATTAGACAAGATTTATGGATCACAAAACACAATTTTTTTAAGAGTTTTAGGCCGTTTAAAACACCAAAAATTCTACGTCATATAAAAGTATTTATTCATGTATTTCTCTCAACACACTGAATTTTTCTCTCATTAGAACCATTTCTAAAAATCCCGAGTTTTGTTGTTCAAGGTTGAGAAATTCTGAAGGACACTGGCAACCACCCGCCCGCTATTTGTTCGCAGGAAGCATTTAGCAGTGTTTCGATTGAGTAACCTTGTTAATCGCCACATTTGCTTTGAAGTGTGCTCAGAAAGGAAGCGCGTAAAATCCCAACCATTTTAATTTCCTTCCATTTGCAAATCTGCGAAGCAAATTCTACGAAATCATTCTCATTTGAGTATGCGAAAGAACAACAATCCAAGAAACAGGACAGAATCACTGTGAGCGATGAACATTTTTTATTACAGTTTCCCTTATTGTGATTAATGTGCTCAAGAGATTTATTTTCTCAGAACAAGAGAGATGAGAATTTTGAAACATGAATTCCACCAAACAAAACGAGACAAAAAAATCGCACCGCATTTTATTCTTCATCCATCCCAGCACATATGTATGCTGTACATACGTATATGCCTCACATGGTGCACTTGTCAGTCCAATGAGGAAATATGATTACAGCATGTGAAACAGGGAGTCCATAGCTGTGGTGAATTTCATTTTATGAATATTGCTTCTGATTACTAGCCATCATCTTGGATAGTTCTACTACCTGTCTGTACCTGTGGTAATAATAACACGACTTGAAATGAAATGCCAGGGTTTGTGTAAAATGGAGGGGTAAACAATGCATAACATTATTTAATGCGTGTTATTTTGTGCATACGAATTGTTCAAGAGTATGAATCCGTACTCACATATTTATCTTTCTTGTGGTACATACGTAGGTAACATATATATCATTATTGCACCATCTCATATTTTCTGTCTGTGTGTCTCACACTTTCCAACTCTCCTGCTGCCTCTTCCTTATTCCAGAAAGTGTGTTTCATCTTTATTGTTCGTAGAAAATGAGTGGTTCCTGCGATGATGATTAATACTTGGGTTTGTATGGAGCACATTCATCGTGTGTGTGTACGTTGGGATTGGGAATGTGATTTCAAGGAATTAAACCATGTCATCACATCATTTGCTTTGAGACAGTCCACAAGATTATATAATATTTATTAGATTGCGTGGTGAAATTGGAATATGGGCTCCACTCATGAAAACCGATTAAAGATCTCGAGATTTGATTTTCATGTCACACTAATAAGAAGTCGACCTTTGGGTAAAGTTAACTTTTCGTGAATTTGAAATACATAACAAAGCAGAGAAAGAGCACAACACGCGAGGACGACGGTACAGCAAGAGTCTCATGCTTAGTATGTGCATATGTACATCGTATACATGAGTGTAGTGCAGTCCAATTTATGTAAAGAAATGCATTTTCGTGGTGGTTTTGGTAGTACCAAATCTTGCTGAGGAAAATCATCTCTAGGTCTCTATGCCTGGCGTAGTAGACAATATTCTCTTGGTTGTATGAAAGGGATACTAAGAAAAAGAAGTTTGCCGGAGGCATGAAATTCCTCAGCATAGATGAAGAAGAAGAGAGCCCACGGTGATTAATAAGGACTGTGCCATGAAGCTCTCTCTCTTATATTCTTGTTACCTGAGAGAAGACGACCGTATGTACGTCCACATGCATACAATTCATGTTCATCTTCCAACTTCACCTTCTTCTTCCTACCTGTTGTGCCTCTTCTTATGTGCGAGCTGTGCAAGAAGAATACGAGGCGAGTATCACCTCCTTCTTCTTACCTTGGCTCTTTTCCCTCTCATCTCAACCCTGCGATACGTATAACGCCGTCGTCGTCGTCGTCAACAAGGATAGCTGTTGAAGCTCTTAACATTTTATATGCTGTATTCAAATAACACCTTTTGGGACGACGGTAGGTAGGGATAGTAGGAACGTGAATATGGTCGTCTCTGTGTACGTGTAGGGTAGTTGTGATGAGATTGTGTATTGTTGCTTAGTCTTGGCAGTGCATTGCATGTACAGACACCCATGCAGGAAAGATATTCCGAGTGGTTTTTATCGCATTGTTGTAAGAGCACTCCAGGGTTTTTTGAGAATTCAACAAGACTGAATCCAGTAGACATTACGCAGTGCTCTGGCAACTAACATCAAAGTTCTGCTCGTCACGGCATTGTTTCAGTAGAAAAAGGACGGTTGTAACTCTATATTTGTACGTCAAATTTCACTTGTGCGAGGTCACAACAACGCTTTGATTTGCCTGTGCACAACAATAATTTGTAAATAATTGATACTGGCCAAACCAAGTAAGTTTGGGGAGTTTGTGCAGTTTACATATTGTGATAAAGACAATACATTACAGAATATATGTGTCAGGTGTATGAAGCTGTGGGTAGAGTGAGGATGGTTTCTGGATGAAAGGCGTAATTACTTATTGTCGTCATTACACACACACATAGCTCACGAGACCAAGCTCAAGGAAGAAAAAGAAGACGAGCGATGATGTCTCATCATTATTATTATTTTCCATAATCTTCCTGGCACTACTACCACATCGTACACTCTCTTTGTGATTGTGATAAGACGACTGGGTATTTTCCAACGATCGTGAAAATATTCGAGTGATTAATCATACAGACCACAATACACATGTACATCGCATAACCCTTCTTCTTCTACTCACGAGACAGAGAGAGGGAGAGAGACCGGTTGCAGTTTACACAAATGCTGCACGGCAACACTGATATGTTGCTATCAGAGAACTTTACAAAACAATGGCGTTGATAAGAACCTGACGAGGAGACCGTAAAACAAATGCTGATGTTGAAATTTGAAGAGGGTCGGTTAGAGTTTTGTTGCACTTGTTTGAGCTACACAACGCTCTCGAGGAAGGAATAATAACACAAACCATAACTTATGCCGAGCAAAATTGAGTGATGAAAACGAAGGACTTGCATAATATTACATACATATTGCACTAGTATTTAACTAGTAAACTCGCCACCAGCCAGGTCAGAAAGTGGTGGCTGAAGTATAAATATAATATGTAACAGTAATCACAATACATGGATTCGAAGAACGTGTAATATTTTCATGGAACACACAACTAACTGGAGGAGAGATTAGCCGAGCCGTGTGCGCCAGAGTTTGGAACATCATGAACTCAAATATCAAGTGAAACCGAAGATAGTGAGCGATGTGTATTGTAAACACGGATATCTTTGGAGTGATTTGTCCTTTGCTTGTCTATGCATGTGTGAATTTATGAGACTGAAAATAATCGACAATACGACTACAACTCCAAAACATACATAACAAACAACTGTCAGCTACACACATTACATGAGAAACCAACCTCTTATTTTGTTGATTTTTGATAGATATCAAGGATGACAAATTCTACTCGGTGGAGGGATTTTGTTTCGTGTACTTAGTCAGTTCTATTTTGACTGGTGACAGTAGTGGTGGGTTCAGGATCGTTATTTCATAAAATCTTGACCACTTTCTGAACATCTTTTGGTACAGACGTAACGGCAAGTTTCATGTGACTTGAAAATCGGAGTGGCAATATCCATGAACATACTCTTCGTCATTAGAAAGTGCAGTAATAGTACTCCATCGTTGGACGCAAATCATATAACCTTATCTGCTTATTGATAACCCTTGTTCAAGTTATCGCCCGAGTCCCACACAATCCGAACACAACACAACGCAATTACACTTTAACCCACCTGCGTCAAATTATCAAATCAATAACATTACCAAAACGAGACACATATTCCACTCTTATACTTATCGCTTCATTCTTTAGTCAAATGTGTTACAAGGAAAACAAGACTCGTATTAATTGACAAAGTTCGCCATTGTTCTGATTTACAAGTTTTTCAAGTTAATGTTTTTACCTCGGGTGTTTATCTAAATTGAATAGTGTGCACTACTTATTTGCATAAATACTGTGTTAACTGTGGTTAGAAAACTATCGCACGTGATACCATATATTGAATAAAAGTGTCATTGCGAAGCCAACCAGGGAAAGGGAGCTTTGGTGCCCTTACTAAATTACAACACAATGTGCCTTAAATATCGTCCAAAAGTAAGGGCTGTGACTGTCATGGTCGTCTGCAACAAGTAGAACTACGGATTCCAGAATGAAGTCTCCCACAAAACTTTCCCCGACGCCCAGTGCGTCACGGGGACTAGGGATGGATTTATCTCTAAAACCGTATCGAATTTCACTGCGACCTAACCAAACCTTAGCTAAATTTTTATATTGTGTCGTGGTGCTACTAAATTTTGTCTTTTTCGCTACATCGTCAAATGTCATACACACCGGTTTTAATTATAGCATAAGTCCCCCTAAGTCACCTCCTTTGGAAGTATATCGCTCAGCAAAAAGTGAGTATGCAAACTAACTACAAGTATATAAATTTAGGCTTAAATTACTTATCAAACATTTCTCGTTTGCTTTTGCTTTGGTCCACACTTAAATACACAATAACAATTAGCACGAATATTGTAAATTTACATACGCACGAAATGCTACCTTGTTGTTGGAATTGTCACAAAGATAAAGTGCATATCTCCGTGTATCATGTTTGTCAACAAATTGATAAGCGATTACAATTCAAAGAATAGATTGCATTATGGCTTCCAGTTTTCAATGCACACATTTATATATTTCGTCCATAAGATTCATCAAGGGGTGTCTTCTCTAGTGTGGAAATTAGGTCAACATTTTTGTTCACACAGCGAAATATAAATGCAGAGAACCCTTTTTTGAAATCGGAAACGAAACTCGACTGAAAAATATTTCCATTCATGATTTCATTTTAAAAAGAGAGTTTCTGTGTAGTCGGGTATCACTGGATTCCTCGAAACAAAAAGGGGTCGATATTATGCAGATGAAAAGTTAGTCCGACTTTTCTCTCTCATGGAATTGTGTGGCTTTCATTCAAATCATGCAACAAGTTGTTGTGTTCATTTCCGTTTCCCATCTGACCAACTCACCACGTCACAAAACATATGAACAAGAATATGTAACAGGAGAGGAAGAAACTGGTGCAACTTCCTCCGCGTCCAAGTAATTTCATACAAAATATTCCGTCCGGTTAGCTAAATGTGAAGGTGCATGTATTCTGGTGCATTTAAAAAAAGGAAGCAAGTGGCTTAAAAAATAGCAGCTCTTTCCCACTTTGAAAACCAACAGCAAGAACAACTGCTGCTGGAGTTCATTTGGAATAATACACGGAGGAGGAAGTCCAGAAGGAAGGAAGCAATATGTACTTAAACAGTTCACCGTCCGTGATTGCTTGCTAAGATCTTCGAAAGCATGATTTTCGAGCCAAGAGCTTACAAACATCTCCAATAAATGCTTTTATACGAAAGGGAGATAAAGGGACGACGAGGAAAAGGAAAGACGGCTGCAACTGCGGATTTTCCCAGGGTGGGGGGACTGCACTTTCTTGGGAAATAGGAATGAATGAGCGGACAAACGAACCTCTTTCTTAAGTACATGGCACATGTGTATCCTTCATATTGAATGTTTGATCCACAAGAGTGAACCCTGAGATATTATGCATATGCTCCCAAACAGTACTGCCTTTTCTTGTGGGAGAATTATTTTCCAAGCAGTTGCGCTTTTCATTCCTCAGACCACAAATTTTATCAACAAGACAAGAAAGAGGAAGCTCTCTCATTCAGTATGGTTTACAAGCCCAGAGAATAAGCCATCGGATTAAAATGTCTCTTGATACCCTCGTGGTTGTTTAGTTGCACTTATTGATGTTAATCTTTACTTGTTGAGATTGTTGGGTAGTGGATGACAAGTGTGCTGATCTAATCTTCCTTCAACCTCAATATCCCTCAACAGCATTTTATGTAATAATAAATAATAGTGCAAAGCCTTAGATTCATTTTCATTACTCAGATTCAGATAAATGCGCCAGTTATCTATGATTTAATATAGCTACTACACGTTAAGAGCCATGTTGGAAGTTGTGTTCCTTCATTGTGATAAATTAGCATGCTGTAAAATGCCTAAAGCTGGAGTTAGTAATACTATTTAGTAACGAAAATATCAGATCTTACCGCAATATACGTGTTTTAGACCAGTTGGGGATATTACTAAATATATTTCCTTTTCAGGTATTGAAATTGAATACTTCACGGGCACAGAGAATACTTTGTTTTTGAGTTTTGTAATGCGTTGACCGTATGTAAGCATACACATTCTGCTGAATTTGCTGAGCCAAGCCAAGGCAGATGAGTTTGTAGGTGTTGCATTTGCGATATGTGGGGGCAGTGCCAAACTGTCAAAGCCTTCAGACTTTAAATTCCTGAATATTGTATACAATTTATTTCCTCGAAGTTTTTATTGCTTCTGATCGATCCGGTTGCGACGTGTATAGCATTTTTAATCCCTGATTTGCAGACAAAGTATATAAACTTAATTGTGTCGTGTCTGACTCTTGGCTGTCTTCAGTACCTTCCTTCACATCTAGATAAGTGCATGGACTGTACTCTTGTCAGTAATGCGCATGGTAAAAATTACTTTATATTTTATATACGTTTTTAAGAGTTATGCATTTAATATCGATACAAGACCAAGTCCACATTATAATAAAATTCGAATCAAGATGTTCAACATTTGAGTATTGACAAGTATTTGAAGCAATAATGTACAAAAGTTGCTTTCCAACATTGGGGCAACAAGTCAGTTAAATTGTTTTGCGAGTGAAGGAAGCAAGATTTTTGGTAGCACGTCCTTGCATATGCTTTTCTGGTGATTTGATGAATACAACAATTACTTCAAGAATGTTAAACATATTTAGCTCGCATGCAGTATTGCGCATGTGTGTCCTTTTTTAGGTGTGAATTACGAAAAAAGTAGTTAACAGGAATTTTCAGTTGTCGTTGATTTGGGAAATGCTGGAGATATCCATCCCCACAGCTTCTTCAAGTTTTCCAACTTTTAAAATTAGGCAGACTCCTTTTATATAACCATTTTCTTCATTGTCTTTAGGGTTACAACGACAAAGTTTTACTTTGGTAGGCAAATTTGAAGTTGCTTTGTTTTTTACACGATAAAAATTCTACTCTCTTTCCTGATACTTAGTAATGAGACAGTGTAGAGATAGAAATCATGTCCATGTTATCTTCTGCCACTTTAACTTGCGACAAAGTTAAAGTTACGGCGCATTATTAGGTCCAAAAGTCACATCCCGAAAGGAAAAACTACCCAAGAAAGAGCTCATTCAGTTAGAAAATAAGCCCATAAACGGAGTATACGCTAATAAATTGAATTGCTATCAGCTTGTGATGTAAGTATGTACATGGACCGTTTCTTTCTCTCTCATAGGACGCATAATGTACTACCTGCTGTGATTTCTTGTACTTTAGCAGTGAACCCTGCTCCGAGCACGTGTCGAATTTTTCAGTTTAAGCCCAACGATCACTAATAATGCACTTTCAGCTCCAAGTTCCCTACAAGTTTGGAACTTTAAATGACTCACACATCCAATTCTTTTGTTTTTAAAGCATCGAATTGGAATCAATAATATGTACGCATTTTCAATCTCTATTTACGATCAACTATTTTAATGACACAAATGTTTAGCGATATATTTATTTATATATGCAGACGAAGACGGTGAGGGCCGTTAAGATTCAGAGATTAAAGAAGTGATGATAACACCCAAACTTGATATAAACATTTAAATATCTATCCAGTGCGTACTGCCTGAAATGGTTAATCTCACTTTCATTTTCAACACGCGCTTGCTGCAGTTGTAAGATGCTGCATTTCCTTGCCTAATTTATCCAAGTCCATTTATTTTTCCACTACCAACTACACACAATAATGCGTATAATCGACGCAGACGTATGTACATAGATTTGGCCTGTCTCCTCTGAGAATAATAACAAGTTGCTGCAATGTATGACCAACTAAAACAAACTATTTGACCAAATCTGATCCCTCCCTTTTCCCATACTCGTCCAAAACTCTTTCTCACATGCATTGTACTTTTGTACTTGATACAATTCAGCAAACAACCAGATTCATATCAGCAATTTGAAAAAAGAGATTCAGATACAGGCAATAGTTGTACATTTCCTTTGTGTTCGAAAAACTCAAACGAACTTCAAACATAGGAAAAATTGCCGAATTGCACCGATCGATGTACATGTGTATTAATGCTATTAATCCAAAGTGAAATCTGTGTTTGAAGTGGGCGACGTGTCGTGTTGTCAACAGTAATTGCGGATGATGGTGCAAACTACGTTTTGCAAGGAACACATCCAACAATAGTATGTAGTGTTTTGAGATTGAAAGTTGTGATCTTAAAATCCCACTCACCAGTTCAGCAAGCAAGCAAGCAACTCATCATCTAACTGCATTGACACATATTTTGAAGCAACGAGCTTTTGCTGATGGTATTGTTGTACATACTGCCAACCTGATCCACCCACACATGAATAATTTCATACCGCTCTGACTATGCAAGAGACAGAAAGATGAAATATTAAACTGGCAGGCAATAAATAAATGGCTTTAAAATTTCCTCCTCCAACATGTTTTGCAAAATCATTTGGAGACGTTTTTGTTGAATCCTTTTAAATTATTTTAATAATGAGTCTTCGTTTACACATGTTATGTGGTGTCCTTTATCAGTATCTTTAAAGCAAAATAATGCACCCAGGACAAGCAGGATCTATTCCTTTGTTCTATTCATCAATGAAGTAAATGCACATATCGAATTCTCTGTGCATGTCCTAAATATTTGGTCAAATGGAGAAATTGGATTATTCTTTAATTCACAGAAGGAATGCTACTAACAAGGGAACCTTAAGTACTGTCACCTCTCGATTTCCTTCCAAATAGCCTTAATCGACAGATAATTTAGTGAAACTTAAACTTTGTCATAGAACATGCGGTGCAAAATCGCGTTTTCGCGAAATATTTGGCGAGAGCTGCACCAAAACCTGCCATTTGCCCAATGCTTTTAACATAGCCACCAGCCTTTCGAATGATGAAATGAACTTCATATAATCTTATTAAATTATATTTGTACCTGTCCGCGTAATTTCAGCCCGATCACCAATATGCATAAAACAATGCAAAGATTCGCAAATTTTTTGCAAATTGCGAAAATCTGAAAACTTGCAAATTTGAATTTCTTCGTTTCTTTAAATTCAACAAACTTTAACAGTTTAACTGTTAGAAAATATATTTTTCTTATTGCAAAAAATTTGCAAAAATTTGCAAAAACTGAACTTCGCAATTTTTCATGAAAATAACTTAAATAACCAAGGCTAGTCTACTTTTACGTATTTTTCGAAATTATTTGCGGTATTTCTTTTGGTAAGTTGCAAAAACTTACAATGTGTGCAATTTT